TCCCTTGGAGTGGTGGTGGTGTCACCTCATCCTTAATCCCACATTTAAAAGCTTACGTAGCATGTTGGGCAGGAAAGTTAAAAGCACACCTGCAATTGATTGGGTTCAGTTGGTTTTGGATCAATGATGGTTCATGTAGGATAAAACTGAAGTCCTTGGGCAACTATAATAATTTTAAAAAGTGCATTAATCTATTTCACTAAAACACTGCCCACTGCCTTGAGCAGTAGAATCCCTTTTTCATATCAGCAGATATGTTGTCTGCATATCACGTTTATTTGATATAAGTCACAAAAGCCTTTTTTAACATATAAATGCACAGGACCTTTGCTGACTTTCGTATCATACCAGCCATCGAGGCCTACTATTCCAAAGCGTGATGTATCTTTAAGGGACAGTAATGAGGCACTATTACTCATTTGTCATAATATAAATGTCATTATCTCTAAAAATCAAACAGTTTTGAATACCTTACTTTTCCCAGTGCTTACCTTCATGTCATACACATCTCAACTTCTGTTTGTTTCACTGGCTTATGTGCCTGAGAAATTGGATATTTATTTAAATGCCCCCTCTGGGTAAAGCATAAGGAAGACAGAGCAGAATGTAGCTTTGGCTCCTGAGATGCATATCTTCTAGTTGGGGAATTGAAGTACGTAAAAGTATATCTAGCAATACGAAGGGCTCTGACAAGTTCAATATAGCTATATAAGTCCTCCAAGAGAGGAGATCGTGCGCCATGAGCTATGTGCTCGGGAACAGTAGTCTATAAAGCAGATAATAGTATTCAGATGGCCTTTGGCCTACACCATTTTAAAGAATGCTTCATTCAGTAGCAGTGAAAAAAAGGACAATCACGGAGTGTACATTTGAGTAGGCTAAACAGACAGTGAAACCCATCTGCATACACACAGCTATCTAATACAATGAGAGATACTGACAGTGATGAAGAACAAAGCCAATGGAATGAGGTCGGGAGAACCATGACTTTAGGTAAGTACGTCTGTCAGGGAAGGCTTCTGATGGTGATCTGAGTGAGGTGTGGGAGTAGGCCATGTGAATTCTACAGGCAGATAGTTCACCTTAGTTGCCAACATCTGAACACCAGGAGATTCAAATGCAAAACAATTACTGGGTTTTCTAGGAAGATGGGAAGAGTTGGCAGTGTTAGCTCCAAATTTCCATGTTCAGTTGGAGCTGAGTAACTGCTGTGTCCTTTAGAGAATCTCTGGCCCTGTCCAGTTTACCACAGTCCCCACCTCTGCCTTGTCTTACACCCAGTGTACTTTACTAATTTATTATTAGGTCCCATGTTCCTGTAGGCGTTTGAGTTGTGACCTTTGCTTTACCACATGTTAGATTAAGTTAAAATTTCCTCCAACTACTAGGCCAATCTCCTATGTAAACTTACATATAATTTTAATCTACTTTCTTAAAAAATAATC